GCAGGTCAGATGCTTAACTCCACATCTAAACGTGATGCTCAGTCTACTGAGGACAAGAAATTTAATGTGAAAAAATTGAAATTCGATGCATTGTACCAGGAGAGCAGTAGAGCCAAGCCCTTAAATATGAAATACATTATTACCTACCAAAGTTAAACAGTGTAGGGCTAATAATAATACATGCGTTAACAATTAACAATGTGATATTTACACAGTATTTATATAATTGTAACATGTCACAGCAAATAAAATTATTTTCTTTTCTTTACCATCTAGGACCACAGTCTCTGATACATGTAACCCTCATCAAAACTAGCAATAATCATGTATGCACAGTGGGAGGGTAACATGGTGGGAGCTAAACCTGTTTTGATCTTTGGACAAAACAATGGGTCCTCCTGGTATCTATGTAGGTAGAATAAGGACTACAGAGAGCTTGGGAGAAACCCATAGAGACACAAACATTTTTTACTACGTAGCACTAAGATATCACTGAAACAGCTTCATAGGTTTGACCTATGGTTTCTTTTGTTTGTGCCATCTCTAAAAGCAGCCAGCAGGAGATGTTTTAGTAGCAACAAAAGCTAACATGGTAGCAAAGCTACAACAATCTACCTCAATTCCCTAAACAGAGCCTGATTTACATCCTGAAATCTTAATTCAAGTTATATTCAATCACTTCATGGAGTAAAATGTTTCCGCTAGAAGGATGAAGAATGGGGTGTGTACACATTTTACTTACACATACAATGAACAGTCCCTTTAATATCTCAGACCTGTAAAACCACCACTCAGATTGTTATTATTTAGATGGCCTTTAGGCAAAGAGGTAATTTTGACAGGAGGAAGAATTAAAACTATTTTCTGGAACAATGTTAAAAACAGCCAGTCAAGACTTTTTGCAAGATACAACATCAAATTCGTTATTTTGAATGAACCTGGTGATTGTGTTGCTTATTAGACCAAGGTAAAATAATGCTCCATGCAGCATTTTAGTGGATTAAGGATTAAACCTGTAATTTTGCAGAGATGTATTTGCATATGTAGACTTTTAACTTCAAGGGAATTTTTTAAAAGTTTATTCAGCACTTTTAAATGACATAGAGCATCATAAGTCCTTAACGCCCACCATTAGACAAGTCACTGTCTTTAATGTATGCCATTAAACAAACAGCATTTGTTAACTATTATTGATAAAGCATTATCTGAAATAACCCAGGCTTTTGTTTTCCAAGTCTGTAAACTTAAGATACTCCTCCTGAAATCGTAAGTCTCTGCGAGATTCTTCACTGACACCAACAAATGTAGTATTATGGTCAACCCATGACAGCTCATACACCACTGTCTGACAGCTGGCTGATATATGCCCACTTTCCAATAACACCTGTTAATGGTTATGAGGAGGGACAAATGAAACTGAGCTTACCTATTGTGTTAGCTCTGGCTGAAGGACTAGCTAATGTTGCTGGCACGGAGGATTTTAGTGAACTGGCCCCACTGTTTATTCTCAGAGTTGGCATATGAGGAGAGGTGGGTGATGTGGGAGACTTGCCATCGGATGTCTTGGGTTTGGCTGAAAGGTTCAGAGGCTGGGCTACTTCATCCTACAACAAGCAGAAGAGAAAAGGATGTTATTAAAAAACTACTGTTGGCACAACATCGTCCAAGCAAAGACAGTTGTTTTCAGCTCATATGAACTTCTAAACCAGAAAGATTGTATGATATATATTAAGATTGAATGTGATACCATCTTGTCATTCCAGTTTGGAACTGAGATGACTGATAAACTGGAGAATTAGTGTGACATGATCAGAGAACATCCTCCATTTGCACTTTGTATGTAGGAATTGTCTCTGAAGAAATTATTCACATCAACAAAATATATCCTTCTATGATGAAAGTGAAGAGCACTCTTACAGTTATAGTTTATGTTATTTTATTTTAAACTTGATATGGATGAATTAAATAAGACCTGAAGAGCATTTTCACTTAAAAGTTCAACCACCACCACTCAAATTAGGCAAATGTGTTTGAGTGAATGGGTTTTTGGTTGGGGTTTTTTGTTTGTTTGTTTGATTTGTTTTGGTTTTTTCAACTTGTGCCTTCCTCTGAACGTCCCATGCTTAGAATTGCAAGCACAAAAATATCACAGGCAGTAAATACTCCTCTTCCACACAATGAAAGAGCAGGAAGAACCTGCCCTTTCTTTCCACAAAATTTGAAACAATAACCTGGAGTATTCTGTGTAAGCCTCTAGATTTTTTCATATTCTGTGGAGCTGGACTTCAAGATTTCAGGAATTATTATTATACAAAAATAGAAAAATTGGGTGACATTTTTTGCAGGGTAACTGGAATTATTCCTAAACCTGGCTTGATTACACAGAGTAACAGACAGTGCTATAAAACACATTAAAATTCTAAGTCGTGTATTTTTGTTTGACCAAAATAAAATACAGTAAGGGGGAAAAAAAGGGAAGGGAGAAAAAGCTTTTTAGCACAGGGGATATTTTAGAAGTGATTTTAACTGACTTTTAAATAACCAGAACTAATGGATATGTTATTAGATCCAACCATCACATATTAGCTTAACTTTCCTCTGACACTGTGACTTAAGAAAGCCATCCTTTAGCTACTGGAAGTGTTATATCACACAACTGGGTTTCGGCTCTAGGCACTGAAGAAGCTGATCCTCGTCTTACAACTTCATCTCCGTAAGTTGTAAGTATGTTCACTGTTAGAGAATTATTCCTGACTTACAGCAATGCAAAGCTGACTGGAATTAGACTCATAATGTTTGAGTATTTTACTGTTACCACTAAGGTATCTGTAACTACTATCATATAATACTGATTCTTTTCCACAGAGGGTGGTGTGCTGCCGTAAAGAAGGAATTTTATAGTTGTCTATCGCTTGTGGAAGTATGATGTAGATGTACATCTCCAAACACCGGACAATTCTGCAAAGCACTGTCATATAACTTTTCCATTACCCTAAAGCAGCAAGCTCTGAGCAAAGCACTTCTGTTATATTTGATTATTTCTACACTTTTGTAATAGCCATAGTTAAAAATAAATTAAAGCTTAGCCAACAAATGTATCAGGGACATTGTGGATAAAACTGTCATCCTTAAGTGGTATTTAAGCTGTCCCAGATGCAACTTGTGCATAAAATAAAAGGGGAAAAAATCCATGCCTAAAATTGACTTAGGAGACTATATTCTGTATTCTTAGAAGCGACTTAGGCACACAGAAGGCAGAGTTCTGTTGATCTTCTAGAAGACTTAAGCTTTGGGGTTAAAAATGTCACCCAGTTCAACCCGCATTTGACATTTTAAGAAGGTATTCGTTACTTTACGGAAATACAAATCCATCTGTATTAGAATAAAATAGATTAACCTACTAGCCAAGTGGAAGGGGACTTGCTCTGCTGTTCCACTGATTTCAATTAAAAAAAATAAAAATCCCACAACAGTGCAACTATAATGTTGTAAAATCAGTACTGAGATAGCTGCATAAAAGTGTAAGTACAAAGTAGCCAACGAACCAACCAAACACAGCGATCCTGTGCCAGACAAGGATCCGTGAAGAGCAAAGTCATCTATTTGGAAGACGATATCAGAAGCAATGCAAACCTGCCCACACACCTGTTTTAGTTCAATTCAAGAGGGGTTAGTTTCCATGTATATTCAATTTTTGACCTCTGTTGTAAGTCTCAACGAAAGGGGATGATTAGTTTCAGTTATGGTAGTAAAAGCTGCAGTGTGCTCTCTGGCCACTGGAAATCTGACCGAGAGCAGCACTTCAGTTCATACGGAGCAGCAACCAGTCCGTGATGGGAATGGCTCTCGCTCGCTGCAAAGTCAGCTTGGATCCCAACCTGCATACTCCTGCTGAACGGTTTTTTTCAGTCTTGTCCTTTTGACTCAATCCCTTGGCTATCCTGTCCCTATAAATTTTATTTCCTTCTCTTCTCTCACTCCTTCTCCCTTTCCTCAGTTCTTCTGTTCCCTTTTTTATGCTAGTGTGAAGGCAAGGTCCTGTGCAAGTCCACTATAGAACAGGGGGTTTGGTCTCATTTAATGCAAGATAGAAATGGAGGTGTTTTTTTCCATCGTAGGCACCCAGTAATGAAGCTGTCTGCACTGTAACTATTCTCGGTAGTAAGAATGCTCTTCTTCATTCAAGTCAGCACAGCCTTCTCTGGAGCCAAGAAGTATAAGGCCTTGTGGAAATAATAGAAGTCGACAGTTCCAGAGCTGATAAATGTCATCCCAAATTGCCCCTTCATTCACTTTCGTTGTGTGTTCAGGCTAATGGTAAATTAATCTGAGGTTACAGAAGCTTGGTTCTCATAACAAAGGATAAGTAAACAATTTTCAGCTATTGCATGTATTTACAAAATGATATTACTTCACTATTTGGTCTTCGTAACATTTTCACTTTTGTTATTTCAAAGAGCATTCTCAAATCCTCACTGGAAGTCAAATACATTAAAAATTCAGCCAGAGAGTTTAGAAATCCTATGTTGGATCATGAGTTGATAATAATTTAAGTCATTTCCTTTACCACAGCGGAACTACACTGATTTATTCCATGGGAGTCTAAAATGGGAGACAGGTAATAATATACAATTGTGTTAAGTGTGAAGATGACTGTTAGGACCTTCACTCCTATACTCAGTGAGCCATTTTAGTCTTTTTCCCGTCTGTAGACATAAATTCAAAATTCTCTAGTCTTCCAGTTTAAATCAAGAACTGTACTGTCTTCACTATTGATTTGCGCCTGCATAACCATGAGAAGAGTTAGGTGTTTGCCTACCTTTACCTTGATCTATAAAATCTCCCAGCTAACATTCTGCCACACTATAGCTTAGTAGGCTTCACTCTCAGTTATATCAAGGCTGTGTATAAGTGCAGCATGACAGCTAGGGCAAATAAGAGTAATAAAAACAAAAAAATAGATGTAGCATGTTCACTCCAGGTAGATGGTATCTTTCAACAGCCAGGAGATTTGATTTTATACAGAGGGATCACTGAAACTAGAACTACTCCCTGCACTTAGTTTTTATTACAGAAAGCTCAGTATTGATTGGTCCCTGCCTTTTTTTGACATGCAGTTATTCTAAGATCCCATTGATAAGGCTGGTTTTTTCAAGCCAGTATTTTTTAAAGAGCTAAACAAAGTCAAACATTTATTTATGTATCAGCCAAAACGATTAATGCTTAGACTAGAGGACGTTAAGACCCAAAAGGCTTGTAATAATATAAACACAGATGTGATGAAAGTAAAATATGATCTTGATTAAAGGTTATGAAATGTTTCCTTTAAAGTAGCGCATTTGTCTAACAAAATGAAACACACACAAAAAAAATAAATGTAGGGAATAAAGCATAAGCAAAAACACACGACGGAGGGCTAATAAAATGAAGTACCCACAGCAAGAGCAAGCATTGGTCAAGAGATTCCCATTCCCTGTATCACAGCAGTGTCACAACACTTGCTATTTTAGGAAGAGCTGATGGTTTGCTTCCCAGGATTGGAAGGCTGTCATTAACCAAAACTTTGGGGCTCGGGGAACTTTAAATCCTTGATTTGCTCTAGATTTTCTTCCTAGTTGATCTCTAGACATATGAAGGAAGAAGTAAGAACCCTTCACTTACACCACAATTTGAAGGGTAAACAAAATATTCAATATCTTGTAGCTTTACTCAAGCTGGATTTGTATAACTGTGAGATTTCATCATAAGCATCAGACATTGGAAATCCCTAAATACAAGTGCCTGAAAAGCAACATTTAAGCAGAAATACTGCTGGTAAGTTGAGCGTGCATCACATTTCTTTTATCAGATTTGTACAGTCCTTTGAAAAGGTAAAATGCTAGGTAAACACAAAGTGCTTGTTAAGACGGGAGGAAAAAATCAAGAGGGAGAAAAGGAAAGGATTTGGTCACAGTCATAGAGTAACGCAGCAGCACAGTTTCAGACAGACCCAGGAATTCTGACTCGCACTCACCAATGTTGCAAACAGTTGGCTGAAATGGTGTCTTTTCTAAACCTTTCACATGCTGCCTCTATTTACTTCCTCTTGAGATAAAAGGTTAATTTATCTCTATGGAAAACAGATATGGAAAAAGAAGGGAATAGAATCTGATTTTGAGAATCTCTCTAAACCTTTTATTAAAAATGGCACTATTTCAACACCAAGAGCTGGATAGAAGACTGATAGCTCAGATGAATGAGCCAGACTCAGGGAAAGAAAAAAAAAGAGGGTGAGGTCGAAGAACCCAGATGATTCATTTGTATTTAAAAATCTCACTTCTTTTCACATGTTTTAAAGATTAGTATACTATTAAAATACAGTTACTGAATTACTGTACTGTCATTTAAATCCAAGTGCTGTATCCCACTGTGGCACACACTGAAGGTCCAGGTTCCATGGTTTATTAGAAAATCATGAACTACTCCTTGTATCATCTGACTGGCAATACAAATGTGCTTAAATGACCTGGCATAAGCACAGCCTAGCATGCTCTACTAAAGAGGCTTTTCATGACCTCTGGGAACACATTCGACACATCCTGCTGCCTATTTAAATGACCTTGAC